CGCCCCAAGATGCTTTGCGGCCGCCCGAGAATTTTCACATTTTCGGACGGGAGCGCGTGGCGAAGACACAGGTAAGTATTAACCCTTTTCAAAGCGTTTTTTTTAAAAACACTTTTTGCATATATCTACTGCTTACTAGCAGTAGATATATGCAAAAAAAAACGGAGGCTTTAATTATCCTTTAAATACAAGAGATCTGGCGTCTGTACAGGCACTGGATCACTTGTTCGGTGCGGCGCCGTGCCCCCCTCCCCCCTGCCACCATCTGTTTCCGGGGCTCAGCTGTCCCCCGGGTGAGCCTGAGACTGGCACGCGTGATGGATTGGAGAGAGATCAGCAGGCTTCCAGCTGCTGATCTCTCCTCCAATCAATGGGCCCGGAAGTGATGTGCATTACATCACTTCCAGTGTCACTGTGCACATTCTCTGGCTCCCAGAGCCAGAAGAAGAAGCTGATGAAGCAGATCTCTGCTTCATCAGCTTATTTGGGGTCCCCAGGTGACTTTAGGGGTCTATAAGACCTCTGATGTCTCCATAAAGAGGACCTATCACATATTTGCTATTACATAGGTGGCTTGTTAGCCCCCTATGGTTTTAGCAATAAAGTTGAGTGCAAAAAAAAAAAAAAAACACGGTGCTGTTGGGAAGAGACTTGGATGGGAAGGTGTGTGCCTCAATAACATAAACCATTTGAATTATTCTTTAATTGAATTTAGGAGAACCTGAGGGCTAGTTCATACCACAAACAGTGCGTTCCGGCCCAATTTGGTGCCGGAACGCACTGGATCACATTCCAGGCGGCTCCCTGCGTTGAGGGGCAGGAGGAGGCGTGGCGGTACATTGAAGTCAATGGCACAGCAGCCACGCCCCCCGGCCGCAGTGCGATCGCCCCCACCCAAACGTGTGGCACATCAATGCCTGTGTTTTTTCTGACTGCACCGGACCATAATGCAGGCATTGATGTGCCATGCGCGTGGGTGCAGGCGTTCGCACTGCGCTTGGGGGGCGTGGCTGCTGTGCTGTGACTCAATGCACTGCCCCCTCCCACCCCTGAATGCAAGGAGCCAGCTGGGATGCGTTCCGGAACCAAATATGGCCGGAACACACTGTTTGTGGTGTGAACTAGCCCTCAATATGTTTGTTTTTTTTTACTATGTGAGCCCAGATTCTATGTGAAAGGAACATCTGCCATTATCAGAAAAATAAATAATACCCAAATCCACCAATGAGCTCAACCTCCTCTCTCTGATGCTGGCAGAAGTGATACAGCGCGCAACTGTTACTGTTTAAACAGGCGCTCGCTGTATCCAGCTAATAGCACAACCTGTCAGAGGTTGGAAACAGCATGCGCACTGTATTCAGCGTCTGACAGGTTACGCATAATGTCCTAAACCGGAAGGGGCGGGGCAAACTTAGATTGGGGGCGCCCGAGTTTAGTCTTGCCTAGGGCAGCACAAAACCTAAATACACCACTGCTTATATTGATGGTTATTGTTATTTCCCTGTTACAATGGTGGTCAGTGTACATTTCGCCCATAGCACAGGGGGACATTTATACTGACCATCAATGTAACAGAGCTTTTATACTGGCCACCAGTGTATGGGATATTCTACTCTCTTTACCAGTGCCCCTAATATAATGGTGGTCAGTCTAAATTCCCCGATAACATTGATGGTCAGTACAGAATAAGCTATTACATTGGTGGTAGGTGTAGAGCCTCCTTATATTGGTGTATGGTGGAAGAAGGGCACCATTTACATTAGTGGTAAGAGAGAGAAAGACTCTCTATCATTTGTGTGATTGTAAGAAAGGGCCTGGAAGCCAGTCATGGTACTTGGCACAGATATTATGGACACTCAGAGCACTCCGTTAGAGCACCACTTTAGTTTATATCACCCTTTAGCACACTTCAGTCTAACTTTGTATTTTTCCCTCTTTGTATCCTTGGTTTGGGAACTTGTGGTTTTGTTTAGGCTTCACCTTGCCGATATTAATTATTTTGTGCCAAGGACACCTAGCTTAAGTTTTAAAACAATTTTCACATGATGTTGATTTCACAATATATATAATACATATTTTAATGAGTAGTTAACAACTGGAAATGCCCAAAATACATGAATGATTATAGAAATAATAAATATTGGTTGTTTATCCTAAAAACTACTTCCAGCGGGTTCCTGTAAATGTAGGTCCTCTGCTGGAAGTGGTTATACCAAGAACACGGCTGCTACTGCAGCCACGTTCTTGGTACCGCTTTGAACAGCCGGCGATTGCTGTTTAAAGTGACATTAAAGTCAAAAATGTTTTTGCCTCCCCCCAATGTTAATGTCAGCACTTACCTTAAATGATGTTTCTTAATCCGATCTTCTTCTTTCTTGTCATTTTCATCTGTCCCTCCAGCACTGCGGCGGGTCTCCGATCCAGCGCTGACTCCTCTGAGCTTGCTGGCACTTCCTGTCCCACGGTGTCTGCATGCGGGTGCACGCCGTCCATAGACTTACCTTGTGTCTCTCCTCGCCTCCCGGCCGAAAATGTGAACTGCGCATGCGCCCGCCCCAAGATGCTTTGCGGCCGCCCGAGAATTTTCACATTTTCGGACGGGAGCGCGTGGCGAAGACACAGGTAAGTATTAACCCTTTTCAAAGCGTTTTTTTTAAAAACACTTTTTGCATATATCTACTGCTTACTAGCAGTAGATATATGCAAAAAAAAACGGAGGCTTTAATTATCCTTTAAATACAAGAGATCTGGCGTCTGTACAGGCACTGGATCACTTGTTCGGTGCGGCGCCGTGCCCCCCTCCCCCCTGCCACCATCTGTTTCCGGGGCTCAGCTGTCCCCCGGGTGAGCCTGAGACTGGCACGCGTGATGGATTGGAGAGAGATCAGCAGGCTTCCAGCTGCTGATCTCTCCTCCAATCAATGGGCCCGGAAGTGATGTGCATTACATCACTTCCAGTGTCACTGTGCACATTCTCTGGCTCCCAGAGCCAGAAGAAGAAGCTGATGAAGCAGATCTCTGCTTCATCAGCTTATTTGGGGTCCCCAGGTGACTTTAGGGGTCTATAAGACCTCTGATGTCTCCATAAAGAGGACCTATCACATATTTGCTATTACATAGGTGGCTTGTTAGCCCCCTATGGTTTTAGCAATAAAGTTGAGTGCAAAAAAAAAAAAAATGTGAAAATCAAAAGTAACAGATTAAAAAAATGCAAAAAAATGTTTTTTTAAATCCCCCGCCCCCACGTGCGATTAAAAAAATGTTTTTTTAATCCCCCGCCCCCCACGTGCACGCACATACAACACAAACACGCGTCGGTGGCGCCTACGTGCAAAAGTGAAAATTGTGCCACACAAGTTATATATTGTCGAGAGCGTTGGAGTGAGAGCAATAATTCTAGGCCCACCAATCACTGTTAGCACTAAACTGATGAGCAGTAATTTCCTTCCTCACTGTTTTTATGCCGGAGTACGCTCTCAACGACATCACCGTCCTGTCCCCTGATCCATCTGACAGAGACGACCGCTGACAGTGTTTCGTTACACACATCCAGACACAGAGTGTCCTGGGCTGCAACGGCTCAGCCCGGCCAGCTGAGTCTCTGCGGCTGACAGCTGTTCTCCCACCGCAGCGATTGTTCGTATAGGATTTCAGCCTTCCACACCACTGGGCTCTATCTGGCTGTACCTTCCTAGGGGCTCCACCTGACTACCTCCAGGGCTTCCAATGACATCCCAAATGTGAGTTTTTTTACAACTGCTTACCACAGCAGTAGCGCTCTCAACACATACATTGTTTTCAATTTAAAACACATTTGTAGTTAGGATAATTTTAATAGAAACCTGGAAAGAATAGAAAGAAGAAATGCTTCTTATGTTACAATGGTAATCACATCACAACACTCCTACAACCCCTCATCCCAAAACAATCTGGATTTCCATTACTAAAAGGTGGCAACCCTGGAACCATTGGATAGAGGCTCTCATATCTGCACAGGACTGTATTTCTATTAACCAAAAAGTGGCAACCCTAGAACCGTTGGATAGTGGCTTTCATATCTGCACTGGCCTGTATTTAATTACCCGGTAGTTGGTAACCCTAAAACCGTTGGATAGTGGCTCTCATATGTGCACTGGCCCACATTTCCATGTACCAAATGGCAGCAATCCTAGAACCATTGGAAAGTGTCTCTCATAACTGCACTGGACCGCATTTCTGTTAACCAAAAGGTGGCAACCCCAGAACCGTTGGATAGCCGTTGGTACCATTTGATCCACGGACCGCTACCGGTCCGCGGCCCGGGGGTTGGGGACCACTGACCTAATCCATGAGGGAGAAGAGCAGAGGAAACGACCATACTCTGATCGTGTGAATCAGTAAAAACTTTATTTAAAGGGTACACCCTTGCATGTTTTTGCATATATCTACTGCTAGCAAGCAGTGGATATATGCAAAACGATTTTTAAAAAAAACACTTTTTCAAAGGGTTAATACTTACCTGTGTCTCCGCCGTGCGCTGCCTTCCGAACATCTAAAAATTTATCGGGCGGCCGCAAAGGATCTGGGGAGGAGGGGGGGTATGCGCAGTTCAGATATTCGGCCAGGAGACGAGGAGAGACACAAGTAAGTATATGGAGCAGCGTGCACCCGCACAGACTCCGTGGGACCTGAGCGAAGAGGAGGACAGAGGAGTCAGTGCTGGATCTGAGACCCGCAGCAGTGCTGAAGGGACAACTAAAAACTACAGGAAAGAAGAAGATTGGATTAAGAGGCAATATTTAAGGTAAGTCCTTCACATTAGCGGGGTGGGGAGAGGGAGAAACGTTTTTCCTTGCTACTTTAAAAAGGATTAAAATGCACTCACACTTAGTAAAAGAGTGTTCCCACTTGTCACAACACTTATCAATTACAGTGATCTTCCACTATGTTCTATCTGTGTTCTTCTCTATGTTGTGGACCATCACATGGGACAGAGGAATCTGGCTGTGCAGCTGATCAGGATGAACTGGAGGACTGGTAGTATCTCTATGAATGGATGGCTGCGGCTGAGTGGAGCTGAGCAGCCTGAAACAACCGTCATGCAGGTAAGGGTATAGGTATGAGAAGGTATCTGTGGGTATAGTAGGAGCTAAAGGAGCAAGTATTCTACACATCTGGAATTGTAGAATAGATGCAGTTGCTGGGTAGCGGAGAAGAGGCAGTTTTGCAATACTTGAGCAACTGGAAATAAATACCCTTGCTTATCACTAGAGGGGGACCTAGTGGAGGTTTATCTAGTAAATAGCCGGAAGAATTTTCATACTGCTTTTGACATCTCACAATGAGTCTGCTTGTAGCTCTTTTCCTGGGATCATGCTTTTCTCTCGCCTATAATTATGAAAATGTCAAGATGACACCGAGATTGACGCAGCATAATCCAGGTAAGATGTTTTCAGTGTAAGTGTATAGGCTAATATTGGCTCAGCACCATTCATCACTTGAATCAAGCTTGTCTCCATGAAGTTGACAACTCTGTACAGTGTCTGGTTTGCTCTTTAAAGTACAGAAACAAAGGCAGGATTCTTTAAAGAGGAGATTTTATGTACATTTTATGTTAGATGTATGCAAATATCACAGACACTCTAGTCGTACATGTGCAAAATCTTGCTACCTTGTTCTCATATCAAGGCTGGCACATATATTGTATTATTATCTCTATGCACTATTCAAGTTTACCTGCTTATACTATAGCGTGTGATTGCAAAAACTATAGAGGTACAGTACAGTGCATATCATCCGTACCTTATCACACACTGCCGTATTAACAACATTTAAATCATACTATATGCTATTATATGTTACTTATTTTAAACTATATATGACATAGACTCAACACACAATGCTTTAACACAAGCATAAAGCTGCCCATACACCTTGCGATCATTGGACGAAACTTTCCGTCCGATAATGGAACCGTCGTTCGATTTTTGTACAGCAGCCCCATCCTGCCCCAATTATCGCAGAGTTCAATCAGCTGTAGGTAAAAAAAAAACACCTGAACGAATTGCGGTAATGGACCGTAAATATTTTCGTTTGCGCATGAGCAGTGTTAATCGTATGAATTTTGACGTACGGAAACGCCACCAATCTTGCGAATATCGTATGATCGACCGAAGTTTTCTAACCTGCTGGATAGTCAAAAGTCGATCGATTGTACAGTATTTGCAGTTGTACACTCCCCCTTAACCTTACAAATATCGGACGAAAACGCGATCGCATACGAAAATCGGCCGATAATCGTAAGGTGTATGGGCATCTTTAGTATGCTTATCTCATTGTGTAAGGTTTGCACCGAGCATTAAGTCCAGTGAATTAGCACTGGCCTCAATATTTTCATGTATACTGTTGATGTGTGTATATATATATATAGATATATAGATATATATATCTATATACACATATACTGGAAGCTGTTTCTACACCTTGAGGTTTCTAATTTTACCCCTACTGTAAACATTTACATACTGTACTTTCAGCACACATCTTCTCAGAAACTTTCCTATATAATGTATATTGGCAAATTCAAGATACTGAAACTACAGGGGAATTCTACATATGAGGAACAGTTATGTTTGGAATTTCACGAGATTACCAGAAAATGTTATGTTCAATACATAGTTATATATTCGTTTCTAGTAAGTTTACAGGTTGCTGTAGTCATCTCTGTTGATGAAAACTAAATGAGTTTTTGGATGTTTTTCCCCCCCCCCAAAGTTTATACTTTTGACTTTTTTTTACATAAATATTGTTTTTATGTATATATGATCTTTATTTTACTAGTAAACATTTAAGGCAGGGTGCATCCTTGCCTCATGGTGCATAGTGCGTGCTGGACTGTCTAATTAGAAAGCCCTGCACAAGTAGACAGCTTGTAGACAGCTCATGTAGTATTGAGGGCACCATCTCTATTAGGCAACAAGGCGTATGAGTCTCTCCTGTGAGGCATTCAGCCATATGTGTAACCAGAGATCCTGCTATTAGGTCTCACAGCACAGGAAACCAGCTATCTAAACCCCGGGAGAAGCAGACACACTTGATGGCTACAAAAAAGGTTACAAATTAAATATTTATATGACGCATTTCCTATTTACCTTCTTTAAAATAGACGTGTAACACTAAACTTGATCGCTCACTTCCCGATCATCTCCCTGCAGAGAGTGGTGACTGTTAGTCACCGCTCCCCGCAGGGATTCCCCCCCCTTCCGTCTCTGTTCCTTCAGCGCTGACTGGAGGGACAGACAGGGGAGGGGGTGGGAACAGCTGGCTCTGGCACCAGAGAGGCAGAGCCAGCTGTCAGTCAGTCAGTGGGATGGATACTGACAATATTGGTGGGATCTTTCCCGGCTGCAGTGCGGCTCAGCGCTGTTAGCATATAGCCCACTATATGGTGATTTGTGGGTCACAGGAGTACATTAGCAAAAAAAGTTTTGCCATAGTTCTCTTTTAAGTGCTTGTTTTAATATTATTATTACTATTGTTGTTATTATTATTATAGTATTATTATTAATGATGTATATGGTGCCAACAGTTTGCACAGCGCTTTACAACATATGGGGAGACAGTACAATTATAATACAATACCAAAGGATTAGAAGGGTTTAGTCTACGGTCTAAAATAAAGAAGATATACTTACCTGATCCCCGGTCCCGCGATAGTGGCCACTCACCTCTTCCCCCCCTCTGCTCTGGCTGTGGTATGTCCCTCTGCACCCCCTCATTTAATACAAGTCAATGGACCTTGGATAGACGTGATGACGTCAGCGGCACTTGGACTACAAAAGTCTACAGAGGAATAGGCTGTGGGGACTGGTGTAGCAGTTAGGCAGGATAGAGGATTGAGTGAGTATATCTTATAT